AAAGTGTTACCATCATTTCTTCATAATCATTCATTCTCTGTTAATAATTTTTATTTTTCTAATAAAGATGGTATTAATCATAACACAGCATTGATATTTCTTTTGTGTATAAAGCTCACACTCAAAACTGTATATCATGATGTCAACATAATGACTCATTTACTCAAGATTTTAACTCAATATGTCAAAAATAAGGTATTACTTTGTATTAATTGTTTTGTTGACTTCTAAGTCAAAATGAATTAGCAAATCCTCTACAGAGAATGCGCTTGAACAATTTTCTTGTGCACAATTTCTATTTATTTGCAGAGTTTATTATATTGGGGGAAAAACATAAAAGGCACCATAATTTTTGCACAGGACACATTTTATGCTTTTTCCCCAAATTTAAAGTAAAATTTAAATTAAATTAAGCAAAGACATAGTAGTTGTATGTAGAAATGTGTCCTCTGTAGAGGATTTAAATCAACAAAACATATAATTTGACCTGGGGCACTCAAACTCTCAGAACGTGTGGTTTCTGATTGTTGCTCTTGTGGCTATCAACACAGAAGACTTTAGTCCAGCTCTTAAACGAATATTCCAGTTTTTCAACTTCATCTGTATGTCTCACATCTGTAGTACATAGTCGATTACCACAGACTGTACTGTGTTTCGATGCATTTCTCTGTACTGAAAAAGAACAGAAAACTTGTTGATTCTTATAACAGATGTTAATGAGCAATTGCTCCAGCACCTACCCGTTGATTTGTATTATTATTGATGATTGACTGACTGATATTCTAAATGTATTTTAAGCCATTGTGTTTTCTGATCTTTTGCTCAATACAGGGAAATGTGTTGAAATACTGTCTGTGGTAACTGACTGTATACATATAGATTAGGTTAAAAAACACCTGGTACCCCTTTAAGGCTGTTCAGCTCACAGATAACACAAAATATATGATTCACAGTGCATGCTACAATATTGACCCACCATAAAATATTGACAGCCTTTACACCTTTTGTGTAGTCAAGCCAAGATTCACAGCCTCTTTCTGTTTGTTTTAGGGATGTTTGATGTACAGCTCATCTATTTCAGTATGGTTTTCCTTGAGGTGTGTTATTCTAGGCCTGGTATTACACCGCTGTAATAATATTGTTCCTTGAAGCCACAGTTTCATGCTAGCAGCTACATTAGCATAAATAGCCAGCCAGCCAGTCAGTCTGCTACAGTGTAGTTACAAGCAAAGACAAACTTTTGTGACCCAGCAATCATGCTGTTTTGCAAGACACATTAAAGCCACCAGAGCTAGACTCTCCAATCAGCCTAGTCTGGTTAAAGGGGAATTCCACTGATTTAAAATCTCTGCATAATTCAGTCATCGATATGTAAACAAAGTCATTCAGAGTGGTTGGTTCTTTGTAGAGAAACATGCTGACTGAGATTTCTGCACAGTAATAGTGGTAGGAATCAGGGGTCTCAATGTCTAGATAAAAAAAAAAAATTAATTACTATCCAAAATGACCGTTGAAACTACATGGGTCTTACGAGTTTTATATGTAATGTTAATGTTGGTGATATAGGAGTAAATCTGAAGAAAAGCGTTTCTTTTGGGATGATGTGTCGTACAGTGCCCTGCATGTATCTCTCCACCATTATTTTACAGGATAACATGCTTTATGACAAAACTATCATAACAAAACAATGTCCCACGCATCTTGTTGTGTATTCATAACCATTGCATGTAGTAAGTTTTTGTGTGAGCATTAAGCACTTTCCTATCACCACCACTGTGAATAATTCTGACTTAGTAAGTTTCTCTAGAACAGAAATTTCACATCAAACCACTCGGGATAACTGTTTACATCTTAAGCATTTAATTATGCAGAACTTTTGGGCTTTTGGTGTAGCAATTTTAGCCTTTTCCTCAAGCAAGATTTTCTCTGCATCTGTCTGTCAGGATAAATAGTCCTGCATTGCTGATTGCTCAATTATATTTTCACTTGTTCATCTATCAGTCACTGTCTGCATTAGAGGGATGTTAGAGAGAGCAAGAGTGAGGGAGAAAGAGAAAGGGGGGGTGTACACTCAGGGGTTAAGTGCAAGGGGGAGGTGGCGAGACATATACACTTGCACCAACCCATTAGCTAATGGATACCTTCAGCGCTATCACTTAACCCCCTGTATTACCATCACTGCCAAATACACCTCTGCACCATCACAACCGGGACAGATCAGCGTGTGTGTGTACATGTATGACCACTGCAAAAAGGAAAAACAACAAAAATAGCTGTAAGAATATAAGAATATCAAGCTGAATGAGATTTTTGCAATTTTTAAAATAGTATATACCTAAGAACAGGCCCAAAGTCATGGGGTCATTCAGTGGGGCAATGCCCCAACAACTAATCATTATGCCCCACTCAGGGCCAGATTAACATGATGTGGTGCCCTGGGCATTACAAGCCTCATGATAACCTAAGACCGTTTGCTGAAAAGGTCTTGGTTTTGCTGAAGACTTGTTCTATCAGTTCTTCCTCAGTCCTTATCAAGACCGGCCAGGTGTGACAATAAGAGGGAGAGAAGATCACTATAAAATGCTTAACATATTAAAATCACTTAAAACCACTTTTTAGTGCAAACCTATGGTGGGTGCCCCTGGGTAGTCACTACGGTCACCCTTATGGTAGATTCAGCCATGCCCTGTTAAAGGCAAGTGCTCAAAAAAGAATCAAAGCCAAACTAAACTTGCAGTTGTGCCGCTTCTCTCTTTGCTATACACACTCAGTATAAACGTCTATTAACACAAGAAGCATTGCATGCGCCGCTTTGTATTGGCTGCATTTTAGGGATGTGCTTGGAAGATAAATTAGCAGACAGTGTTAATCGATAGATAGATCGTGTTGTGAATTGCTGAAAACGTGGCAGCTGCTAAACAGAAAGGACACGCCCACCTTGATGCCCCACCCTACTCTTCAGATGCCCTCATGATTTTGTTCTGGCGCTGGGCCTGAATCACAACCTCAAATGCCATACACACGTCTTCACACGTTTGGCATGTAAGCTTATCAATCGCCTTACACTACTTACACGCAACTCTTCCCGGAACATTAGTCAGCAAAAGTCTAGTCAAATTACTTGTTTTGGTGATTTTCTAAGCGGATAATAAGCCTGCACATTTTAATGCACTATTTATATTTATGTATACTATTTATTGGCTAAATTTAACATATTGTAAAAAAACAAAACAAAAAAGTGGCTTTTGCAAAAGTTATGACCCAATTTATATTTTTCCAATTTATATGTTAAAGTAAACATAGTAAATAGATAGTAAACATACTAAATAGGTACAAATGGAATAGAAATCAATAGAAATAGAAATGAATAGAAAATGTGCACCAAAAACCACATTTAAGTGTATTTTCTGAAAAGATGTATCTTATTTACACTTTGAAAATCAACAAAATATCATTTGATTGCTGTATTTGACTATTTGCAGGTTTTCAGTCTTTAGACTGAGAATTCTGAATGTCAGAGATGGTCACACAACAGTCTCTTTGACTGAACTAGAATCTTTCTACAGTTTTTCAAATGATGCTTTACTCATTTGAGATTTTTTCATAATTTCTTAGCTTTTGATGTCCTTCTTTTGCGTTAATGACAATGAGCACTTGGGCTAGAATGGACTCCACATACTTCTGCAAATGCCTCTGAAGAACAGATCAAATCCACCTGAGAGTCGTCTGAACACAAGCTTCAAGGGATAAAAATACCACACCATTTTAAACACAGGCCTTAACACAGTCAAAGCCCAATATTTTGTTGATTTTCTAAGTGAGAGTAAATGCACATCCTCCACAGAGAACAAACATCTGCACATGTACACTCACTGTTTATTTTCTGTATTTAACATATTGGAAAAAAAATAGAAGATACAAATTGGACTGTCCACAATGTTCCACATTTTATGTTTTATTTTATTTTATTTTTTCCAATATAAACTCAGCAACTATATAGAAACTGTGTGCTAAAACTAGCAGAAAAAATGCCATATTTGAGTTTGTTCCCTGTATAAGAGGTGTTACTTTATTTGCAATTAGAAAATCAAAAAAACTTGTAACAATGTAAAATTTTAAGATCTTAAGACCCACACTGGCATTTTTTACTCACCTCCCTCCCACCATGCGTTGAGCAGCTGGAAATGCTGAGAGGTCAGCAAAAAGCAATCTTTACAATCTAATCAGATTAGAGTGCTTAAGATTAAATATGCACAGTGAAAGAGAGGATCTTTCTACTCATGATCATAAATGCAAATGATGAATCAATTATGCACCAAGTGCCTTGCAATTCATAACTGGAGAGCCATCATTAATATGTTAAAGAAACACAGTGGGCATATTTTCTATGCCATTAGGAAGTAATACATTAATGAATTAGAATCACTGAAATGGGTCTATATTACTTGTAGGGGGGTGGCGAGGCAGTTAATTTCTGATAGGAATGTAAATGACTTTCACCTAGTGGGGAATACGGCACTACAGTAATATCTAACATGGCCTTTCTTATCATTAAATTACATTACACACGGGTAATGAATTGTACTATTATGTTTCTGTTCCAAACTATACAGCTTATCAATAGCTATATATGCTGTAAGCAACAGTTGAATGTAGTTAATTTATTATACTATGCTATGCTGTACTTTAACCCTCAGAATCTTTAGCATTGATTTTGTTTATTTATTTTAATTATTTTTACCCCTGTGGGTTTTACAGGTTACAAAGATGAATGTGTATACAGTCATCTACAAAGGTTTGGTCAAATACTCTACACTATAGAGAACAGACTTCTGTACATTTTAATGCACAATTTCTGCTTATTTCAACTTAGCAAATAAATTGTGCAGTAAAATTAGAAAATCAACAAAACGTCATGTGACTGGGGGTGTTCAAACATTAGTATATGACTGCAGTTACTTTCAATAAGATCATTTCAATTTCAAGAAAAACACATAGAATGAATGGCCACAGACAAGAAGAAACTTTAATTAAATATTGTGAAAGTTGAAAAGTTATTTTACAGTTCAAAGTTAATTAGAAAATGATAATCTTTACAGTAGTTTTCATTTTTATATTATTTCCCTCCCCAGCAATATATAACTGCCCACCTAGTGTCCAGTCTAAGAGAAGTAATGGGAACAAACAGGGGAAGAGAGTCAAATAACATTTCCTGCTAATTAGGACTTTTTGTGTAAATTGATAAGGCGTCCACCTCCTCAGTGAGTAAGCAATGTTATGACTTAGAAACTTTATTTGATAAAGTTAAAAAAAAGATGGTTAGTTCACTGTAAAAGCACAGCCTCCTTTGAGAAGGGGATCATTTAGAGAGCATTCTGAGTGAAATCATGACAATTGGGGAACTTTAAGACTTTTCAGTAACACAGATTTTTGTGGATTTTTGTGCTGTTTCAAACAATCAGAAATGATCACGTCTGTATAAACTACCCAGCAAAGTCGACAGCAAAGCACTGGTGGTTAAATCTACACATTTATGTGACTCTGCATTGTTAAGGCATTGTAACTGCTGGTGGACATGAGAAAACCTGAAGTTGTGGGAACATTAAGGATTAAGATGCATGAGATATTGTACATACTGTGCATAAAACAATATCTCTGAGATGTCCAATAAAAAACAAAGGGAAAAAAAGCACATATATAATATTCAGGTGTAAAGGGGCCACTGAACTTATGTATCAAATATTTCACACGTTTTGCCACATGATACAAAAACCCAACAAAAAAACTGTTAAGACAACATTTCATTAACTTACAAATGGTATAAAAATAAACCATTGGCCTCTTGCAGGATGGAAATAACAATGTGGGCGTGATTCTGAACACAAAACTGAAGTAAGCAAATTCAAAACATCACATTTAAGGACAGATCCGCACATTACAACAGCAAACACACAAACATGAATGGAGAGCCGCAGATAGAAGCAATGTACAAACTTTAAGCGATACATACATATGCTATATGGATATTTTACATATATCCCTTTTTCTGATCAGCAAAATCTCCTAGCTAAGTGGGATGAGATCTGTTGCGTATGCCGTAAACACGATATCAGTGAGACTAGTTCATATAAAGCTGCCTTAAGACTTCTTTCTGATGTATAAATATTTTTCAAATAATAATTTTGGCAAAATAAAAGAATTTACAAAAAAATTGCATACGTATCACTCTGTACAAAACACACATTTCGAAAACCGAAAAGGACAATAAATCATTCAGAAATCCTACGATTCATAAAAGGGGTTGTGTTATTTTCACAGTGCTGACTCTGAAGTCCACGGCCCAAAAATACACACCTCTAAACTCTGATCTAGTATCAGCCTGATCGAGTAAACTCCTGCATGACCCAGAGAGCAGCGCGGACTCACCATCAGCCTGATAAATGCTTAATTAAAGGGGCATTTTACCAATTTTTCAACATTTCTGCATAATTAAATAGATAATATGTAAACAAAGTCATTCAGAGTGGTGATGGGAAATAGGAACCAGAGTGTGCGCAGTCCATAATGCAAATATAAATTTTTTATATACTATGCAAAACAACTAATGCACTAGTGATCATGGTAAAATAGGCAGAAAATAAGTTTTCAGTAATATTCTGCCTTACAATGTCTTACAATCTCTGTCATGAATGAAAAAAATACATTTTAGGCCAAAATCATGCCTCAAAACAATATCTATATCTTTAGACAAAGTGTCTGTAACAATTTCATGTAATTTGTTAGAAAGCTTTTAGAGGCAGACATCTGGTTCCTATCACCACCACTGTGAACAACTCTGATTCAGAATTCTCTGGAATGGAGAATTTCACATCAAACCACTCTAAATGATTTTGTTTACATGTTTCCAATTCAATCATGCAGGAATTTTGCGAAAGTGGAATCCCTTTTTACTATATCCTTCCTTACTTACTGTCAAATCATTAGGGATAGACTGAGAGCAAAACTAAATGTGATCACAGTTTCTTTGCTTAAAAAATTAAATATGAAAACATTTCAAACCAACAAACATCTTTTAATCTGAAATGGCAACACCATGAAAACACAAATCCTTCATAAAAATTCCATCAATGGTGGCAACAAACACTTCAAATAATTAGTTAGCAACCTTTTTTGTTGTTATTGGCCAACGTGTCATCTAATGATCTATTAAACACACAGTTATGGCAGTTAAACTGAAGATGGCATGGCATGATTTTAGTGGAGGTTCTAGTTTTGGCAATGGTGAAACATTTGGACCATGACAAGACTGTATTTAGTCGGCGTTTGCCGAATTGAGATTACGAAGGGATTTGAAGCACTAACAACAAATTAGGTCATCCAACTAATTTGGCTTTAAGTGAGAATGATCTGTGATCAGTACTGGTCTTATCATATATCCTCAATAATCCTTCATTTAGTATATAAAATCATAAATAGAAAACACTGCAGCTCGTGTCCTTTGTGTATTTTACATTTCATAAAAGGGTATAACATTTGTTTTTCCACAAAAACACACAGGTATGATGGCAAACCAAAATCCAAACATTTCTAAATAAATAGAACTCTGTTGCACTAGTGTGGCCGGGGCGAATAAGATCCATCTGTGGCGTTGCCCCCCCCCTTCATTTTAAAAAGTGTCTACAAGGTGAGTACAAATCATCAAAACATCAAAACAGCTTGATACAATAGTCCAGGTTAATTTTTTCCCCCTTATAACGCTTCACTTCAAAGGTGATTACGTTTTAAAAAAGGGCCTGAGTTTAAAGTTGTGATCCTTCAGAGACGGACTGCAGGGGTCAGTCCACGACCGGAGTCTTCTGTACACAATCAGGGACATACACACACACACACACACACAGCCACATACATACTACATAGGAGGAACAATCATTCCAGGGATCACTGTTGAAAGACACAGAGAGAGGGAGGACCGTGTTAATTCACTTTACTTCATTAAGCGTTCCATTACTGAAACAGACCTGCCAATAAATCCTGCATATCAAGATCAGACAGCAGCGAGTGAATCATTGCGAGCGGGGCGAGTGCAACAGAGAATGCAATGGAGAGAAAGACAAACAGACCAGGCCGTGCCTGTATCTGCTGCACGACTCAACGTGGTTTCATATTTTCCATACATAATAACTCTTTAAACATGCCAATCTGTTCTCACATCTGTAGAACAAGCTGGAGGCCTTGACGTTCCAGTACAGTTTGAAATGGGGGATAAATCCTAATGTGTTTTTCTCTTTGCGACGGCGAACTGGCACACAGCGCGTATTTGCAACGCTTGATTACGGCCGTCTCAGCTCCCCCTAATTGTTTGCACACAGTTTGTTCCATTGTTCTAGCCTTGTAAGGCATTGCATCATCCTGCCATCAAAGGGCCAGGATGCTTGTCAACATGTGAGGAACAGAGAGAGAGAGGTTCAGCGAGGTTCCAAATCACGGCCCGGGACAGAACAGGGTGACGACATCCAAACTCTGACACGACACCACTGTTACTTGTATAAGGAATGAAGGATGGCTGAAGATTTTTGAGAGGAAGAATTGTCACTCAGATTTGATCATCTAATATATAATAAAATGCAAGAGTTTATAGCCTTATATTACATTATTATTACACATATGCTTTAGTCATCCAAATACTGTCTATCAAAGAGCATATCACTGATTGGTGATTAGGTTCAGACGTTCAGAAGATTCAGCATAATCTTACACTTATTATTATACTTATTGATAATACTTTTTTCCATTTTTACAATGCAAATCTTTTGCATAAAATTTTACATTAAAATTATATGAAAATACTGACATGCATAAAATCAATACTTTTTGTACTAATGTTATAAAGTCATTTGTTTTCGTTCTATATCGTAAAATATAATTAGAAGTACAAGATACTGTATTCATTTTCAGTGTAAGAAAAGGGGAGACTTTCAGTTTTCTCAAAGAAATCTGCAGGCATATTTTTTCACACTCCAAATTTCAGTCATAGAATTTGATGTTGAGGTCTGTGGTCCACATCTCAAAGATGAAAGCTTTAAATACTGTTTATATTTTTGTTTTTTACTACAAAAGTTTAAGATTCATTCTGCGGAAATCTTCTGAATAAATTTAGAAATAATGCACAATAGGAGGTATATATAACTGACTGGTGCAGTCATAAGGATAATTATTCTTACAATGTATTTCACTGTGTAAATTCAACAAATGTTGATACTGATTATGAGTACAGAATAAAATGTACCCCTTAAGGTTCACCAGTTTAAACATCTTCATTTATCATGAAGGAACGATTTATGTTCCTTCATGATAAATGTCTTTTTGGGGTTGGAGCATGGATCTTGGCATGGATCAAGAGTTTTATGGAAATTTTTTAGAAGTAGGAAAAAATGCTTATTGCTGCAGATTTAGCTTGACGTTTGTTTAGCAACTGCTGACAAACAGCAAAGGTGAGTGGCAGGGCTTTCTGCAGGCGGTGCATGTCTTACAGCAGCCATTGCTGATGCACAGAAGCCTGAAGCAAACACACACACATTCCTACATTCTCTCTGTAACATACACACTCTACATGCAACTACAAGTTATGATTCATAGGAGAGAACATGACATTATTCATACACAAATCTGAAGAACATAAGTAAATGATATGTTCATGGATGGATGGATCAGTAAATGGTAAGACAAAGCACCAAGCAGATGGCTATGAAAAAGAAGTGAGGAACATACTTCAGGAGAAGGCCAGGCCCTGGAGTGCGCTGGCAGTTGAGTACTTGTTAGAGTCCACAAAAGACTGATCTGAGGGGAGGAGTGGAGAAAAGAAGAAGAAGAAGTGGAAGAAGAGAGAGGGGAGAGGCACAAAAGGAAGAAAAAGAGTCAGAAAATCTGGGTTAATCTCAGACCTGATGTGGATGGTATGTGAAACCATGGAATAAAATGCAAGGGAAAGAGAAACATGCAGTTAGACTTTTTTGGTGTGGTTGCTTCTAAAAGATTCATTGAAGTAAAACATTTAACAACTCAAGATACTGAGAGAGGCCTGAACGAATGAGGGTTTTTTTTGCACTGAGATGTTGTGCAGAAATGTTTTTTACCCAATGTTACTGAAAGTCTTTTTTATTTTTAGTTTTAGGTTTTTTAACTCTAAATGTGAAAAATCAGTTGTGGGAAGGACTGGGTATTGAAATTCAATACTTTTATTGTACCACCGAGTTACTTCAGCAGTAGTAGTAGTGTAGTAGTGTAGAGTAGTAGTGAAATAGTGTAGAGTTGTAGTGTAGTAGTGTAGAGTAGTAATGTAGTAGTGTAGAGTAGTGTAGTAATGTAAGAGTAGTGAAAAATTCTTTATTATTCAATACTAAGTTTCAATACTCAATAGTCAGTCTTCTCAGTGCAAATAAGGCAACAAGCAATGAGACTGCAAAATGTTGACTGCAGACTGGCTGTCTAAATTTACATTCATTTAAATAATAGAAAATATGGTATCAGAAACAGTATCGGTCAGAAATCAGTTTCAAAATCAAAGTAACAGTATTGGTATTAATACTGACAAAAACACATACCCAGTCCTAGTTGTAGGACCCTTACGATTTCAAAAATTAAGGGGACCTGTGTTTGACTTGTGTAAACTGTTGTGCCATCTATTATGGGTTGGTGTAATTTTAGGATAAATTTAAGAACAGTTTTTCAATATACACATATTACAACAAAGTATTATCCAAATACTTCACTGACAATAAAATACATTTAGATTTTAAACATGAAAGGGACATCTGATAAACTTTTGGAAATATTTTTTCAATTTATAGAATTTACATCCAAAGGTTTACATTTAGATAAACACATGAAAGCGTCATTTGCTCAATTTGCTTAAAGTGCTATAATGTGGGCAATACCAATCATGTAGGCAAAATGAGTAGACAGTAGCTAAGCACAAGCTGTACCTTGGAGGCCATTGCCGTTGGTGCTGGTGCAGGTGGGTGGGGGTGACGTCTGAGGCCGGACTACAGGGGCGAAAGCACTCTTCTGCTTTACTGCTGATACCATGTTAGCTGGAGAAAAGGAGAAGATTCCAGAGGAGCTGCTGCAGTTGGAGGGCAGGCTGGTGGAGGACGCCATGGTGGGGCTGGAGGGAACAACTGAGAGGGCAAAACAGAAAAAAAAGAGATTAATATAATGGAGGAACAATCATAGCTAGCAGGGAGAGAGCCAAGACAGAATTCACCCTCACCCAAAGACAATGCTTTTATTCATTTATAATCTTAAAACTATAGTAAAACTATACTGTATATAAAATTTGCTAACTACTTTAAAACTGATATGTTATTCCTGACACTGATGAAGTAAGTGGGGTAATTCCACCAAATTCTTTTAAATTTCAGCATAATTAAAGATGTAAACAAAGGCATTCAGAGTGGTTTGCTTTGAAATATATAATTGTAGAGAAACTCAGTGAGTCAGAATTGTTCACAGCTGTGGTGATAGGAACCACACGTCTGAAGAGTTCACTGGCTACTTTGGATAGTAAATAAAATGTCTGTATTTTTTTTGCAGACATTGCGACCCCTGGTTTCTATCACCACCACCACTGTAAAGAGATGAGACTAGTAAGTTGCTCTGCCATGCACCATCACATCAAACCACTCTGAATGAATCTTAGCAATTGAACTATGCAGACATAAAAAAAAAAAAAAAATAGTGTTGAAGGTTGACCCACTTACAGGCCCCTTAAGGTTCAACAGTTTAAACATCTTCATTTTGATGTGGAAATGTTTGTGTTGATCATTAAACATTCAGTTCTCAATAGCAAGAAGCAGATTTACACCTACAAAAAAAAAAAATCAATAACTTCACATTTAGGGTTTCTTTCTCGATGAGAACAATTCATTAGAAGACACTCTTGCTCTAACCACATCAGAACAGTTCACAGCGCTGGCCATGGATAGCAGAATCCATTTATCAAGTCCTAAGTAATCAATTAATGAAAATTGGAATCTTAGCGCCGCTATCTGAGATTGATTCAGAGTGTCTAATGGAGTCAGCAAACCTTTTAAAATAGTTGTTAACATGGCGGGACCAAAGCTGCGGAATTGAATTGTTACCCCTCGAATTAGTTTATCGATTTAATTAGCAGCCGTTAATTTGGAGGCTGGAGCGGAGCGTCACTCTGATAGACGTGGTCAAGCGTTACGCTGTGCAGTACAACGACAGCTTTCAATTTAGCTTACATTACAGAGAGAGAGAAAGAGTGTTGAATTCCTGCATGCTTCATTCCTCCTTTGTGTGTTTAAGCTGCACTGTGTTGCAACTCGTGCAGAGTGTAAATTGTAGCGCATGTGACAGTGGGAGGGGTGTTTCTTCAGATTCGGAGCCAGAATTCTCCCCAAACACCACCCTTCAAACCTCACACACCCCACACATAATTAAGTCAAACAAACATGTGGGTGTTAGACCAACTCTCTCTCTCTCTCTTTCTCTCACTCTCTCCCTTTTCCCCCTCACTTCCTTCTTTCTGTCCTGTTAATTAGAAAAGGGAACCAATTAAGACTCGGCAAAACAGATAACAGCAGGCATGAGGTAGAAGAGGGAGCATGAAAAGCTGTGCCCAGAGAGAAGAGAGAGGGACGAGCTTGTTTCTCTCTCTCTCTCTCTCTCTCTCTCTCTCTCTCTCTTTCTGTTTTGTTTTAAAGAACTGTTAAAGACACACTCCAGAGCTGAGAGGATGCCAGCGCAGCCAGTGGGGAATTGTGCAAGATCTGAAGGCCCGTACTGTCACACAAGCACATGCCACGATGACTGTGCAGCTCAACAAAGGCGGAGAGGGAACCTCCTCTTTAAAAAAAAAGCTTCATTAAGGAAGACAGAACGGTGGAACTCCAACAGCAACGGCAGCAAACACAAGTCACCTTCAATATCACTGCATAATAACTAGTAGCTATGAACAAATCATGAGCTCTTCAGAATTTAAAAATGAACAAGTATTTATAAAGTAGGTTACTAGGTAGTGCTAGACAAAGGTAGGCAGCCATGACCACCATGATCCAAGGGTCCCATGAAAATACACATTAGATATACTGTATGTGTTGATGTTAAAAAACCTACTCCGAAATATATAAACAATTTTAAAAACAGCTGCAACAGTAGCAATAATTTTCAGTCATTTCAAAACACACATCACGTTCATGGTTATAACAGTTTCAGGTGCAAATTGGATGCATTCTGACAGCATGTCATGCACAAAACAAGTATAAATGAACAGTTTTTGAGTTTCCTTTCATGCGTATGCATTCTACCTCTGTAGACTTTTGGTGAGAAAGAATCTCCTTTATTAACACTGCTATCTCTATCGCTGAACTTCTATTTTTTCTTTGGGCTTGAGCATGTTGATGACTGTGCCTTTTTAAACGCTGTGCCTCATTGCTAGACTCATTTATTCATTTATTTCAGATTCATTGTTGGGCGCATACTCCAGTTGCATTAAGGTATATCAAACCACTAAGAATCACTTTGATTATATTTTAACCATTTAATCAGTGGAATTCTCTCTCTCTATTTTTGTTCTAATACATTTCAACACACACTTGATGCCAGTCCTTAACTTTAAACTCTTCTAGATGCTCCCAGGGTGCATATGTCTTAAAACACCTTGTCTTTCGTTTTGTTTAAATATTGTTAAATATTTAAATATTGTTAAATATTTCTATATATAGAGCAATTTGGTTGAAAATTGCAATTGATACCTCATGTGTGTTCATAAGAAACAAGTTATTTATTATAATTTGAATTTAATGAAGTATTGTTGTGAATATTGTCTTGTTTTGCAGAGAAATCATCCTTTAAATACATTTCTAACAGGTAAAAGTTGGAAATGTAGACTCAGAGCTCACTTTACAATGTTAATCAAATGTACATTCAGTTCAACTCAATATGCCATTAATTATGTGGTGTAAACTGAATGTATGGCAAAACGATAATGACACCTCCCTGAAGGGTTCATTTCTTCAAGTAAAGGTTTTAAAATGACCATCAGGCAGGCACTCACTGGCATAGGGGGAGTTGGCAGCGGAGCCGTTGAGGAAGCTGGGTGAGCCGGTCAGGTTGGTCATGGCCGTGTTGCCATAGCCGTTCATGCTGGTGGCCACCGTGCTGTAGCTGCTCTGTTGCGGTGTGGAGCTGGGCACGTAACTGTGAGGAGACACGCTGCTCGTGTTCCGACTGAAGCCTGAGGGAGAGCAAGAAAGAGCATGACTTTAAAGAGTAAAATATTCACAGATTTCTCATTCAATTCCACAGGTTATCTCATTAAGGTCAAGTTCTTAAAAAAAATTTAATTTTCATAACATTAAAAGACACTATTTCTAAATACTGCTGGGATCTGAGTTAATATCAGTCCACCCCTGTTTGCAGTGACCATGAGCAGAAGCACTTTTACTGGGTGCCTAAATGAAAATGATGGAAATTGCAAACATGTAAGTAGCATTTAAAGCAGAACAGAGTCAAATATTCTTGCTAACAGCTTAAATGGAAAATATGAGTAAATGAAGTGGTGTTAAAGAGGAGGTGGGATTTTAGCGCTGATAAGTTATACAGATTCTGCACTGAAGACTATAGTGGATCCAGATGTCGCTGTGGAACCTAAGACAGCTGGAACTGAGACTAGGCTGTGTCAAATCCTTAGGCAAAAAGGCTGAGTAATGAAACAGCTAGCACTCAGCAGGGGCAATCTATAATGCGGAGGGGACATTTCTTAAACCCTGGCCTTGGACATGTTTCAAGGCTTAGCAGAGTTCTTCACTTTCCAGTAACTCTGCTAGAAGATTGCAGTTGTGATGAACTGTAGCCTATTCACCTGTTTCTCATTGGACCAGCAACTTGCACAAGGGAGGGAAGAGGTTGCTCCATCTGACAACACAATGTGTGCGTATTTGTGTGTGCCTGCATGCGTGTCTTAGGGCTGCACAATATATCATTTGGTAATCATCATCATGATATTGCCTTTTGCAATATTATATTAATATACACAAATGAGTCTCTAACCAATCACAGATGTTCTCTGGGTGTTTGGACGAATTAAGGCATTCATAGGATTGAACAAACTTTGTAAATAATTTTGTTCAAAAATAATGCAGACTGATCTTTAACAACTAAATACATTACTGTGCAAAAGTCTGAAAGCACCCTTGACTTATTAAATATTAAGTCAAAACAGCTGTTAAGTAAGTTATTAATTTTTCAGTGAATATTTTTGAGGAGACTGAATACATAAGAAAGGCAAAAGTCTAATGAAAATAAGTAAAAAAGAGTTTCCAAAACTGGACTTCTAAAAATCTTTAACAAACAGATGGAAAATAAGACTCCTAACAACGGTGCAAATCTTTGAGAGGCACAAGAAAATCCACTCTTGCTTCAGATCTGAAAAAATCAACAGGTGTTTCTGTTCATGCTTCCACTGTGAGAAGACAACTCAATGCTATGGGTCTGAAAGGATGTGTAGCTGTCAAAAAGCTGTTACTGAGAAAAGGAAACAAAGCAGCAGCCTGTTTTCAGAACAATGGACTGACTACCCCAGACCCCAGACCTCAACTTCACTGAATGGATTTGGGATTACTTAGATTGTAAAAATTAGAAAATGTAAACAACTTCTAATACTGAACTTTGGAAGTGTAGAAAAATGTTCTTGCAGATTGCTTTTTGAAACAATTAAAGAATGTCTCTGAAAAGGAATAGACGTGATAGAGGCAAAAAGGCAGAGAGACTAAATACTGAAAAAAATATGATTATTTAGTTGTTGAGCCTTCTGTGTAGTTTTCTGTTAAATTTACGCTTTCTGGCCATTTTGACTGGAAATTAAATAAATGAAGGGTGGTCTTAACTTTTGAACAGTACTGTATATCATATTTAAGTGATCATCTGCATGCTTTAGTATATTTTAATCATAATGTGATTTTTTTTTGTTCATATCATGCAGTCCTGGTGTGTGTGTGTGTCGTACCCTGATTTCCTCCTTGTGAAGACTCGGATACATTAACGGCAAGCTGTCCAGTGAAGGAGTTAACTCCCATCATGCCAGCATGGACAGAGCTGTTGGTCAGGCTGGTCAGCTGATTGTGGTTCCGCGGTACGTTGTAGAGTGCCTCTGCTATGTCGGCTGCCCGCTTCAGAATGATCTCCTGTGGACAAATGCGCTGCTGTAATTATTGTTGCATTTTGAAAGGAAAGTATTCATCATAACAAAAACTTTTTTTAACCACCTAATTGATGTTATTAAAGAAATACTTCAGCATTTATCAACCTTATCTCTACCTGAAGCATCTGTGGCACATAGTAAATTATCAGGCACAACAATATTGACGTTTTTTCAAGTACTTAGAAAAGAATAGGCAGACTGAAAATACACTTTATAATAGATTATAATAGAAGTCAATGGAAAGGTGTTTCAGCATCTGCCCAGTGATGTCTATTATAAGTGTGTTTCCATTCAGGTTTTCTGGTCTTTTACAAAATATAGGGAAACGATTATCTGTGGTTATCGATCATGTCACAGAGGAAGCCGCTACAGATTAGGTTGAAAAATAATGGAGCACTGCTTTAACAACACACTTTGCACATGGTGGCTAATTGCAAGGTGTTGAAAAGTCTCACCTGGTTGTTATGAGGCATCCCGTACAACGCTTCTACCAAATCTGCTGCTCTCTTCAAAATCACCTCCTACATTCATCAATAAGAACAGAGAGAAGAAAAGAAGAGGGAGAGGGGAAAGAAAAAAAAGATTTAATGCTTTTCATTCCCCCATACATTTTCAGTCTATAACACGTCACCAGCAAACATGCCGAGTTAATGTTCAGCCACAACTGAGCAAGAACTTCTCTTCTCTTCCACAAACAGCCAAAAAGAGAGTGAATTTCCGTTTAATAACATTGTGGACAGGCAAAACACACAGAGCTAGTGCTTACTCAATTGTTTTGGTGTCTGTAGGAATGAGAAAGTGCCGTATTTCACCCTGCCATCTGGTTCGGGTTGAAAAGGGAGACAATGCGATCTATGTTCTGCGGAAAAGGTCAGCCAGTTCCACAGAGCCGGACTGAAGGCAATAACTCAGACAAAAGCAAGGCCTAGGCTAATAGCTTTCACAACAGCTTACAGCACTGCTATTGCGGAGTGTCTTCTAATGAAGAACATTACTGTACTGATCACAGTACTGATTGGTTTTCAGCACTTCCTGAATCACCATGTGCTCTAATACAGTGTCTGGAACTGTTAGCAGTCATTTTTAGCTGTCTTCAAAGTTTGCTAACATGATTTCTGGTACAAAATGAGTACTGAGTGCATCTGTATTTGCAGAACATTACAAAACTCATCAGCAGCTGTTAAGTGCACTCTACATCAAATTTGACCCTTAGAAGTCAGAGTTGCATAGTCTAATTCACTCATAGCTAACAGACACAAGCAGAGAAGTTTGTAGCTAGAAGAGGAGATTTTTTTGTCTTTTTTAACATCAAAATAAAATGAAAAATGCTGAAAGTCATGTAATTTATGGTGTAACTCACTATGAAATTAAATATGTAACTACACTTGGATAGCATACAAAATGAAAGTAATGTTCAACACCTTATTAAAGAGGAAACCCACTGATTTTTTCAGCAGAATTAAATGTTTGTAAAATAAGATGTAAACAAAGTCAACATTACACATAATCAACATCACACATAAAATGTATATGTTCACTGGTGGTTTTGGTTGGTAAATAAAATGGCTATGGTTGTGTTGTAGGCATAGTGACCTCTGGCTCCCGTCACCATCACTGTGAAGAAATGAAGAGTTTTTCTACAATAGACTAATTCACATCAAACAACTCTGAATGACTTTTGAATGTTTTTCTATGATCAAATTGCAGAAATTTTGAAAAATGTTCTCTACCATTTCCCAGTTACATTTTCTCTTCTTTTCTTTCCTTACTGTCCACGATCTGTATATGGATGTTCAAGGAGGCTTTTGTGAGGTGTTAACGTGGCCGACCAAAAGACAACATGCAGAACATTGCTGTATACCCACTGTGTGCTAGCCTTCACTTCTAATAGCCCCCAACAAACGTGTGAGTGCAGCATCAGAACATATTGCCTCCCATCCAGCCCTGATTACACACTGCACTGATTACACACACACACACACACACACACACACACCTACCAAGTAACAAGGCAAGGGAGGTCAGGCAAGCAATAAAGAGTTTTAGAGCGCTGTCCAAGGTGCTAAATTTCACTCGATTCCAGCCACGCTGCCACTCAGTTAACCTCTCATTAACAGCGTAGAGCTCTGTATGCTTCTGTGCTCGGGGGGTGAAACAGGCCTTGTAGTGGCCCACGGAGGGGGTGTAAAGGGGATACAGGGAAACATGGGGGAGGGGGGATGTGGCAATGCAGGAGGGGCATCAATAAGACAAGACAAAGATGAGAAAAATGATAAGTAGAAAAATGATAATCTTCTTTCATATCAGTGCTACAATCCCACAAGCTCTCCTCATCATCACAACTGTTTCAGGACGAGGTTCAAAAGTGGATCAATAAGACCCTTTAACCTGACTGAGGCTCAGAATTCTACAACTTATATGCTACTGTGCAAATACACAGGGCATGAACCTTAATGAAGTGAGCATCTCGACAGTGTCTCATTCTCAGAATCTGGCCCCTTAAACTCATTTAAATCTGCTGCAAGAAGAGTTGCGACATCCTTGTTGGATACAGTGATACGTATCAGCGTATAAAATAAGCATTTTTTATGTTCTACTGTGTTTTCTATCACTGTATAAAAGATGCATGAGGCTTCTGTTTCTGTTGGATACACCGTTATTTCTTTTCCAAGCAAGTGTGCATGTTCATTCAAAGCACTATTTGGACCAGAAAGCGTTTATTGTTCTTTTGTTCAATCAGAGTAACAATGATTTTTTTTAAAAAAATGCCATATATGAGTTTGTTCTCTGTAGAAATCATGTTGTTAATGGAGAAGATCAGATTAAACAGTCACATTATGCATTGGCTTTAAAAGGTTAAACGAATATTCCAGTGTTTTTCATATTTTCCCAACTTAAAGGGGTTTTTGAGGTAATGGTGCTTTATTTCATGCTATATGTGAAGTACATATTTCTAAAGTAAAATACAGTGCAATATGACACAAAATGAGACAAAATGTTAACAGGTAAACAATGTCTTTATTCTAAAAACTTGAACACATTTAAATACTCATTTACGCAATTCACACAGTAACCCAAGACTGCGATGTGGTTTAACTGTTTTTATATTTGTGGCTGGATTCAGTTTTATGTCTTATGGAAACATGGGGAAGTTGGTTTTTTTTTGGCACTGCACTCCTACCTTCAAAAAAACCCCACTGAAATAATCTCAGGGAATGTTTTTAGAAAAACATGGAATATTCTAAGGAAGACAGGAACAACTGTTGCATGATATCAGTGGGAACAAGTGGAAGTGACATCAGATCTCAGTGTGTGTGACTGTGCTCAGTGAGTAAGCATTTACAGTAAAACTGCAGACGTCTAAGCTTAACAGGAAAACCTAATCCTGCCATCTATAATAGATACTCCATGATATCATCACCATCATCACAATCATCCAATCATCACTGATGGATACACTGTATGGATCGCCAGTAAGACAGTCAGTTCAATAGGGTTTAAAAGGCTGTTTTTGCTAATGTGTCTGTAAGGCTGATGTAAATTAGCTCTGTTCTGTTTGGCTGCCCTGTATTGTGACTAATTTAAAAAAAGCAATACAGGCTGAAACACTCCTTATAGCTTCAATGTGAATGGGTGGGACTAAACTTATGTTAAAGGTTTTTGTGACATCACCGGAACAAAGAATTCAAAATAAGCTGTTTTCATCAGTGGTTACCACCACAAAATTGTTTTTTTTTCCCAGAAGCCTTTAGCAGTTGGATAAGACAGTTTTTTTGAGTTGAACATGACATATATATTTTTTTTGTATCTTAAATTGATGCTACCATCAATGTAATGGTAAATATAAGGGAAGTGAATACAATATAAATAATTGTACATTATTTGAGAACATTGCAGGTTCTAGCACCTAGCATACCTAGCTACCTAGCTGCTCAAACTGATCGACAGTAATTCAGAGCTGAACTCTCATTCAACACAACCACATATCCTCATTCTGACACACAAGGCAGGTCTTATATTAAAGTAACAGTTAAAGTAACAAGACTAGCTACTGGCCTGTGCTCTATCAACCTACAACTCCACATTTTAGCTACTATAAGCACTAGGGCCTTTGGAAAAGCTCTCATGTTCTAAATTATGACAGCCTGTAATGCATACCACATACATTTGTGGGGGAAATGGCATGGAAAATATGCTTGGCCCAGATGCTAGCATTAAAGCAACATGTCAGAGAGAAGGGGAAGCATGATATATTTGAGGTTTCCAAAGTCTTGTTCGTTCACAACTTCATCATCGTCTAATACTCCATTAGCGCTATGCTATAGGAAGGGTCACGAGCTGTCAGACATGGTCACAGAGGCTTGCTGATGCAATATGAGAAATGGATCTCTGGAATGTTTGATCATTTTTTTAAAAAGGGGCTTTAAATATATATCTGTAAAATGGTAACTTCATAGTGCTATAAACTGTTTCTGACAGCATCTATACGCAGGTTATGAAAGGTCGTGCATGATGTTATTTACCATATACAAGCATGTCTGCCTCACTGCTGATGCAGGCTGTCTTACTCAGATTACAGTTGTGTTCATTAAATCAGCTTTACCAAACTAAGGCAGCATGATATCACCACACACTGCCCATTAAGAGCATGACATCAGAAGGTGGTGACAGAGGCTTAGGTGAAGAGATGATGTCAGTAGCAGTGACACACTGAGATAAAGCCTGTTTCCTGTTGATCATGTCAGTTAATACCAGTCATATGGAAAAAGCTAGTGGAACCTGCAAAATCAGGAAAGCTGAGAAATGCATATTTAAGACATGGGCAGCAGTAAAGCACGTTATCAGTAACAGTCACAAATAAAAACAGCCACGCATCCTGGACTTTATGCACCATATGAACTTAAATATAAACAATCTTTTCATGTTAAGTGATAAATGTACTTGTGACTTGTATTTTTCTCTTGTTTTGTCTTGACTGTGTGTTGCTACCCTTTTTTTGTTTGCTTGTTCTTGTTTGGTGGTGCAATAAAAAAAACAACAACTTGTATATACAAAAGGTATACCTTTGCATTAGAAGGGAAAAGAATGTTCTCTTCAAATTCAATGTAAAATAATATAATTAATGTATGTAATTCTGGACTATTCCTATTGATCCATTCATCATAAAATGTTCACACAGTGTAAACGGCTACATTTTGAAATCACACAAATGAAGATACACGGTTCAGTTCCAACAGGTATATAACATTTTATGATGCATGGACAGTCTAGAATTACTTGGATAAATCACCACTATAAGGCAAGAAAGGCTTTTCTTTTTCTTTTGAGTTCTGGAGTTTTGTTGCACCAGTGACAATTTAATGTTTGTATATTGTTATTGTCACAAAAAAAATGTATCTCCAAAATAGTAACTTTATAGAAGAAAGAAAAATAAATTAGAAAATTTTAAGCTAATATTGTCTAATTCTGCCCTGCGATGGACTGGCGACCTGTCCAGGGTGTTTCCTGCCCTCTGCCCATT